GGGGGGCTCCCGGCCAGCCCCAAGCAGCTCCGAAGCCCCTGCACCTCAGACCACGCTTCTCACCCCGCCGCATTCTTCCCGTGGCTCCCCAACAAGACCCTGCTGCCAGTCTTGTTGAAGATGTGCTTCGGAAAGTCACGTGCACCCGCCTCTTCCCACGCACCCGCCCCACCTGTGTTCCCTGCTCCGTTCACCTCTCGCCGGCTTCGCCTCCCCACACCCACAGCCTAGATTCTAAAACTCAGCCTCCTGCCGAGCTTCCACTTCCTGAGAACTCTCGCCTCCCCAGCACCGTCTTCTAGTGTCTGACAAGGTCTCAATCAGCACTGATCTCCGCTGACACGATGCCTCCAAGGGTAGGGGGCGAGTGTCCCCCCACATTCAAGCAGAGCTCTGGACCCAGCAGGCCCTAGAGCGCTGCTCAGCGGAGCTGGATTCGTTACTTGGAATCCTCTCTTCCAAGAAATGCCGGCTGCGAGGTCAGAGGGATTGGCACCCAAGTAAAGGGCGAATTCATCGCAGGTCCTTGGAGCCTGGGCCCTGTCTTCTCTCTTCCGTCTCCCAACATTTCTCCTTCCCCCGCAGGGCCACCATAAAGCCTCAGCCCTCATTCCCAAATGACATACTCGGTTCTCCTGCCCTCCCTGCTGTGAGGGACCCTGCAGGAGTGGGAAATACTACATTCTGCGGGTCACTCCTGCAGAAAACAGAGACACATGCCCGATGGCAACGTGGCCAGGAGAAGGGAGCCTAGCGGAAAGGAGGAAATTTTACTGGTCCTTTAGCCCCTTGAAAAAGAGAAGACACGCCTCCACTTCAGGTAAATGAAAAGCTGTGACAGTCTTGACCCTGAGAGGCCCCTGGCAAAGCCCCAGCACCTCCGGGGACAGGGTGAAGGGCCTCGGGGAGCTCCCGTGGGAACCAGAAGGGGTGGGCTGGAGGCTCCTCCATGGGTCCTGGGGCAGGACTCGTGTAATGAAGCCTCTAGCGTTTTGTAATCAGAGGAATGCAAATCGATCCCCGTTTTCCAGAAAAATTAAGATCGTGCCATTATCTTCTTGTGTTTAAATTTGCCCTCTGGGGGACTTACAGGAAACCCTGGCAGGTTGGACATGGGTGTCAGCGGTTCAGGAACAGATAGCACAGGCGAGGCGGGGGCGTCAGCCCATGAGTCACTGCCAAGCCCTCTCCCTCCGATAAGAACGGGCGCCGGGCCATCTGCGGGCTGTACGGCTCCCTCCACCCTGGGCGCAGGCCGTGGAAGGGGGGAAGGTGCTGTGTGGCCTGCTTTCTCCCTGCCTGGCACCTTTCAGACACTCTTGCTATATTCAGGGAATTTTCAGCCTTGTGAGTACTCCTCCTTCCAGAAAATTCCGGCTCCCCGGCTCCCTCACAGCCTGTGCTAAGCCTCCTTCCTCTACACACCTCCTCTGAGCCCAAAACCACGGGACATCTCACCTCCGCGGGCCATCGGGAGTTCCTTCAGACCCCGAGGGTTGAAGAATGTTTTGAGGGAAACCAGCCCTATACAACAAACAGCACTTAATGCTACACGTCCTACAAACACAAAGTTGAAAATATGTTTTATTCTAACTGCCTTTGCAAACACATATACGAATACTTTTTAGATACATTCTTATCTTGTTTGTTGTGATTCCCTTTATTATTTGTGTTTGGACAGTGTGTACTGGGGCCTCTTGTGTATACTGTAGATTCATCTACTTGGGAGAACAGGGGCTCCCGCGTGTGTGTGCGTGTGCGTGTGTGTGTGGGAGAGCTGTTGTGGACTGAATGTGTTCCCTCCAAATTCATATGGGAAAGCCCCAGCCCCCACAGTGGTGGTGTTTGGAGGGGGGGCCTTTGGGAGGCCACCAGGGTTAGATGGGTCCTGAGTGTGGGGCTCTCATGATGGGATTAGTGGCCTTCCTGCAAGCCAGGGAGAGGGCCCTCGCCAGAACCCGGCCCTGCTGGCACCCTGATCCCCGACTTCCAGCCCCAGCACTGTGAGAGAGAACCGTGCGTTGTCTAAGCCGCCCAGGTTGGCTTTTGTTATGGCAGCTGGAGCAGACCGAGACCGGGGTCTTGCTCTCTGTCACCGCTACACGTGAGAGTTCACAACAGCTTCTAGGGCCCACGTGAGAACGTTCCCCGGGGATTCCAGCCGATGGACGCTCCTCTCCTCTCATGCAGGTGGTTTGGGAAACAGCAACGGTGACATTTTGGAAATCTATTGGCATTGCCACACAGGACACCCGAGTGAACCAAGTCAGGGAGTTCTGTTCCTGTTTTACAACCACTGAGAAAGTGCCAGTCAGCATTTCTGGTGGCAGAACCACATTACCACCGAGGGGCCCAATTCCAGCCATCAGTAGGGAAACTAGATATTTTAACTCACCCAGGAAGCCTTCTCTGGGCTCCATGAAGTGTTGAGACCGACTGGGGGCCTTCATTTCCTCCATGAAGGACTCCCGGTGATGAGGGGGCCCGGCTGGGAGCCCTTAACTTAGAGACAGCGACTCAGTGGCCCTGCCCAACAGTGTGCCCTGTGGAGGCCTCCCGGGCCCTGTTCCTGGGGCTGCGGCGTTTTCTCTGGCTGGCTGCTGTAACGCATTACCACAGACTTAGCGGCTTAAAACAGAAATGTACTATCTTACGGTCCTGGGTCGGAAACCCAAACTGGGCTGGCAGGCCTGCCTTCCTTCTGCAGACCTAGGGAGGATCTGCTTCCTGGCCTTTTCCGGTTTCAGAGGCTGCCTGCTTCCTTACCCTGTGTGTGTGTGTGTGTGCATGCGTGTGTGCACGTGCGTGGTGTGCGTGCTTGTGTGTGTGGTGTGCATGTGTGCATGTGCATGGGCGTGCTTCCTCTGTCCTCAAGCAGCCGCCTGCTGTCTCCTACTCTCCATCTCTCCCGTCTGCTTCTGTCGTCATATCCCCTTTACTCTCTTTTTAAAAACTGAGACGTAATTGATGGTATAGTAACGTTCGGGTGGTGGTGTTTTCGGTGTGCGTTTTAAAGATTTCACACGTAAGTGAGACTATACAGCATTTGTTTTTCTTTGACTCATTTTGCAGAGTATAACTCTGCACGTTCATCCGCGTTGCTGCAAATGGCAGCATTTCCTCCCTCCTTGGCCGAGTGATACTCTGTGGCACATACGCACCACATCTTCTATCCGCTCACCCATCGATGCACACGTCGCCTTTCCTGACCCTTGGCCCCCCCCCTTACAGGGACCCTCATGCGTACATTGGGCGCACCTGGATCATCCGGGAGAATCTCCCCCTCACAAGGTCCTTTACCTAATCACACCCACAAAGTCGTTCGGCCTAGCAAGGCGACATAGCCACAGGTTTTGGGGATTAGGGCACAGACATCTTTGGGGCCATTAGTCCACCCTTCACAGGGGCGGCCCCGACTGACACCAGACAGGTGGGTGGTTGTGCTCAGCACCTCAACCTTGGGCTCTCACACCACTTCAGTCTTGCACTGACCCCTCACCCGGCACACATACCTCCAGGGCCCTGTCCCTCAAAACCCACAGGCCACAGCCCTCGCAGGGCTGGGCTTGCTGGGGCCGCCATCCATCCTTCCTTGATAAATTCAGTGCTCTGTCGACTTGGCTGGTGTAAAAGCCAACTTAAAAGGAGGGGGAGAAGAATTACCATTGTTTTGGGGGTGCGGGCAGGTGGAGAATTTTCTGTAACCCTTGAGTGATCTATATAAACTCACTCATGAGCAAGGCTCTGGCTTTCTGATTGTAAAAAGGCACTAGCTGGACCGTGACCTGGGTGTTGCTGGCTAGCCATCTACTGGTAAGTGTGTCGGGAAAAACACAGTCCTTCCCTGCTGTGTTTGTCTGTCACACAGGCACATCCACACATTTCTGACACTGCTGGTCACCATTGTGTGGGTTCTCCCCACACCAAGCACCTCTCCATGACACCAGCTGGGTGTCCCACAGTTGGGCCCAATTCTGACCCCATCTACCTGGAGGTCATGTCAGACCCCACAGGCTAGGGGCTCAGTCCCACCAGACTGCCCCCCACTTCAGATGTCAATTGCACATAGCAGGTCCCCTGCTTCCCCACAGTT